ACGCCAAAAGAGCACAAGGCAAGTACATAGTCTGCTGGCCAACTTGCTTGTTTGACTAAGGAGTGGTGTGGGTTCGATTCACAGAGGTAGCATCTTTTTAGCTTCCACGACGTCATGACTGTGGGCGGACTTGGATCCGCGAGTGCGGGCCGCGACTTGGGCTTCATCTACGGGGACATGGTGTCATTACTGTGGGCGGACTTGGATCCGCGAGGGCGGGCCACGACTTGGGCTTCATCTACGCGGACGTTGACGAGGAAGCTGAGCGGGCTTGGATGGGGCGTGGCGGGTTGCGAGCTTGGTAAGTGGGCCGCATATTGGTGAGGCGAGCCAGGACACAGGAGTAGCGCGCGCCGTATCTTTGTCTCCGTTGCGCGGGCCGAAAGTATGAAGGTGTGGTGACCCATAGTAGCTTTAGCCTTTGGCGCACGTTGAAATTCTCGGCAGTGCGTTGCTGTTGTTTGAGAAGGTTGGATCCGCGAGTGAAGTACTCGCCTTTAATTTGTGGATACAATGGGAAACGTGATAAAAGCGGGCGCTGCGCATTAAGAGGACCATAGTATCCTTTGGCATATTGGTCAGCATGCTTGAACGGAGCTGCAGTGACGTGAGTTCAATTCACCACCGATGCCTTCTATATTCAGATGAGATGCTTTTTTCCTCATCGGCTTGTCAGAGCTATGAGAAGGGTCAGAAGTAGCTGTGGGCCTCGAGCTGATAGATAGTGGTGCGGGTCGCGGAGTCTAATGGCATGGGCCGAGGCGGGCTTGATGCGTGGGCCGCGAAATGTAGATGGAGCCCCGCATAAGTGGCGGCGGAATGGGCTGCAGTGGAAGGAGGATTGGCAAATTGAATGGATTGCGAAAAAGCGGGCCAAGTAGTGCTTCAAGTTTGGCATAGGGGGCCCAGAGACACAGGCGGGTGGTTCTCCAATTATGGAAAGGAGTTTCCTTCTGCGGGATTAGTTTCTTTTTTTTTTCTTTTCTTTCTTGTTCTTTAACCCTTTGTGTGTTTTGGAATTCCCAAAGAGAACGTTAATGTCTTCCTCCTTTTCCTTTTACTTTTTATCCGCCGATTGGGCTACCGGCGCCATGAGAGATGACGGACTGGGCGGCCGGCGAAGCGCGGAGTCAATGAGAATGTAGTCTGCGGAGAAGCAAAAGGCGCAGTATCCTCAGAGAAGTGCGGCGGTGCGGAGACTGAGAAGTGATGATATTTGTCGCGCTGCCATTGATGTGAGCATAGGTAGGAGAGAGTGCGGAAGTGCTGGAAGCGCGCCGCCGTGAATTGAAGCGCGACGCCCACAAATCAACACCGCTCATGGAAGTCTGGCGAAAAGGAGGTCGAAGAGAGCGTCATAGTCTAGTCATGCGGCCGCAAGGAGAAGTGTCACTGTCCTTGTTGCCGGTATGTTTACAGGCTGGAACGCAAAGTTGTCTCGGGAAATGCGCTTCTTCTTCTTACAGAGATAAACTCGACCGTTCTTTTCTCTCTTTTCCAATTCCCGAGGTCATCTACTGTAGATGAGCAGTGGGATCGATACAATAATAATGGTGACAACAAAGAAAGTCCTCTCTTTTTTTTTCTTTTCTTCTCGATTTGTGCCGCCGTCCACTGGCACTGACGTGGGTAAACAGGATGGTCGCGCGGCAATCTGGTGTGGATCAGCGACTGGTGGTGGCTGGTACAAATCAATGACGGAGGAGGCAAAATCGATCAGATCTTTCTTCTTCCCTATCGCTGCTTCGGCTGAAGAGAAGTTGATTCGAACTTTGGAGGGGATTTCTCCGACATGTGACGTATTTTTCCGGCCGGTTGTTTTCTTATATTCTCTCTGTTGGTCCCTCAAAGTAGATGTGAGAATTGTTTCATTTCTATTCGTCGCTTGGAGTTGGTGGGTGAAAGGTGATTACTTTCCAAGATCCACCAACCTTCCTTCCATCACAAGATCTAAATTTTTGCGTCTGTTTTTTTCCACATCTTTTGGACGTCGGAGCTAGGGATTTCAGGGAGAAAAGGTTGACCCCTTTGTATTTTGGGTCTCGCATCCTTCGGAAATCAAGCAACGAATGTGGAATCAGGCCACATGGTGGGCGCCAATTGTTTGTACCATCTAGTTCGAAGGTATGAATAATAATCATTTGTTGGTGTGGGCTTGACTCACGATCCGTTCGTCCGATCTCCGAGGATGAAATAACCTATGAAGAGTCGGGGATGCCACCCAGATTTAGCTCCGACGATCAAGTCAGTTCATGTTTAAGGTGAGAGTTGAGAGAATAAGGTGAGGAGAGAGAGAGAAGAATGCCTCTTCTAGGTTAGTTAAGGGCAAACCTCCTATTTCGTATTAGCACTTAGGGTTTAGTTGTGGGTGGCCGTCCGAATTCCAATTTGAGGGTGAAGTCTAACCATTCCTTAGTCGATAGGTTGAGAGAGTCGCATTAGCGGCTTGGATCATATCCCATTTCCTCAACCTAGAGACCAAGAGGGTGGTCTTGGTTACTTGTTAAACTTCCATGTGGTTTATGACCCCCTTCCACACCCATTCGTTCGATTCTTCAAGTCGTAGTTATTAACTAAGGGGAGCAACACCCGGGTGAAGCCTTCTCAATTAGTGTTAAATTCATTTTACTTTTGCAAAGTACTTGCAGGCTCGTTTGTTTGTTGGATTTGTAAATGAAGGTTTTGAGTTTTGAAAACCTTTGAATTTTTTATGGATTTGTTGTATTTTGTATTTGAAAGATAACATTGTTTGTTTAGTTCATTTTGATCATGGATTTAAAGATTTTTTCACCATGGCCCACAAAACCTTGCCTTTCATGGCCAAATACCAAACGAAATGTGGTATTTGCAAATACGTGGGGTCCACAGATTTGGAGTTAAAAAAAAGGACCAAATCCGTGGGCCCATGGATTTGTATACCTCAACAAACAATGTTATTTTGGAAAATACATAATGATTGAGATTTGGGTGCCAAATACATCACCCAAATCCCACAAGCAAACGATATCTTAGTTTTAGACCTTTGTTTTCATAAAAACTAATCTGCTAGATAATGTTTCAAACAGTCGACGTAGCGGTACATGGGCCGGTCCTGGTCGATATTTAAACATACTTGCCCTATATTGCACCCATCTAAGGTTTATACTTGGTCCTTTGGTGAGATTTTATTGTGATAGTCAGAGTGAGTCAAGTTTTTGGCGCCGTTACTGGGGAACTTCAGTCCGTTATCGTGAAAAGTTTGTTTGGTGTTAATCTAGCTTTTAAATTTATGTTTTTGTTAAGTAGTGAAGTATATGCCTGTGCTAGACGTGTTGTGTTCTTTAAGTATGTGTAAGGAGGTGCATGACCCGAAACAATTCCACACCTTTAACGCCATTGGACGAACGCATCAACGGATCAACCTAACTCTTCGACTTGTAAATTTAAAACATTAGAACAAGTTATTTGCAAAGACAAGTTACTATACACCTAGACACGATTTTCCTGTTCATTTAGACTCAAAATTACTGTTCACCCTCCTCCCATTGGTGCATCCTTTGCGATTGGGTCCAGCCGCCTTTGCTTATTGGTTGGTTTCCTGCGTCTGGGTCCCGCCGTTGTTGCTGTGTGTGCCGCGTTGCCCTCAGCTGCACGCTCATTATCACTTCTTCTCTCTTTATTTCTCTCAATCCTTCTTTCCATTGCATGTGATTCCCTCTGCCCGAGGATTTTTGGGAACTTCACCACCACAGTGAGGAGGGAAGGTTACTGTTTGGGAGGGGTGTATCCTTCGCAAGGAAGTTACAGGCGCGGTATCCAATGAAGAGGAGAGAGACTGAGGATGGTGACTCGACCCTGCTGGAAAAAAGGGTGGAGGTCTCGAGATGTCAGGAAGCAAGAGGAAGCCTTTTCCCGATCAATTAGTCGAGAGGAGAGATCAGAAATCCCTCTTCCTTTTCATCTTCTCTCTCTTACTCACTCTGTTGACTCCAACCTATTCCGCTGCAAACAACCATCTTTCCCAAATCTTCTCCTTCTCTGACCTCTTTTCACCATCTTCTCCTTCTCTCTTCCTCTCTTTGCGACCGCCAGAATCTCCAAATCCCGCGATGAAGCAGCCAGCTTGCCGAAGAAGGAGATCCGCCAGACGCTTCGATCGACGCCGATCCTATTCCTCTGTATCTGATTTCTTTGGGCAGAGAGGAGGGAAGGTGTGAACCACGATGTTGGTGTCGAGTTCTGATTGTTTTCGGGTGAGTTTTCACGATGGGTCGATGTTGGAGAAGTTACGCTTTGATTCCCTAAAGTCTCTCTCCCCGTCTCACTGCCCACGCGCTGATTTCTGGGGTTCTGCTCGATTCATGGTGAGATTCGATTTGCCTGGTTTCTTTCCTCTCTCTCAGTGTATCTATGTCTCTCTTTGACTGGTTTGGGGGTTCTTTTTTCAAATATGATTTTGGTTGTGCCATTTTCATTAATGACCAGAGGCTGCTAGGTTGAGTGGCAGATTTGAGTGGTGCGCGCGTGAAGAAAAAAATTTGTCGGTTCCGGTGAGCTTTCAATCTCAAAATTTTCATTTTTTGTTCTTTTTTCGGATACTAATTCCCTCTATTTCGTTTCCCACTCTCCTCTATTTCTTTCCTTCCGAGGCTAATGACGCCCCCGTCCCTTCCGGGGAGGAATCCGAAAATCAATGACTTGGAGCGATCAATTGGAGAAGGAGAATTTTAGAGGCGAGAGAGGGCACAGAATGTGACGATAGCGAGAGTAGGGGCGACAAATCGAAGTTGGAAGCAACCGGAGGCGGGTTCGTGAGGATTATGGAGGGCTCAAAGGAGTTTCGCATTCGCAAATGGATCTGGCAAGGAGAGGCTGGATGTAGTAGGTTTGTTTTCTTCCATTCGATTCCTTTCTTCTTTCTCACCTCTTTTGCCTCGGTTGATTTATACATTCTCTCCACTACTGCAGTTGGCCGCAATTGATCAGTTTTTTTGTGCTCTTGCAGGTGGAACTCCATATGGGTCTCGATCTCCCTACAGATTCAGTTTGAAAATGGAAGATTTATTTACTTTGTTTTTTCCCTCTTCGAATGACCTAGCGAAATGGAAGGTTTGCGCCTCTGAATGCACCCTTCATCTACGGGAGTTCATTTAGATGAATGTTGATCATTAGTTAATCTTACTCCATGTTATATGAATGTTGATCTGCAGAGTTGCATGTTGGGGAAGGTGCTACCGGAGCTACTGTGAGGATCCAAAGGTTTTCTTATGAAGGAGGCGCTGTCATTATTCACTTGCAGAATAAACCAAGAGCTCGAGGAGTTACAGGCTAGGAAGAAGGACCCTTTTGCCTCTCCTTTCCCCAATGGTTACAGGTAATCATTATTATGAACATTGAATTGTGTTTTAGCTTAGTATGATTGTAGAGTTTAAGGGCATTGGTAGACCCCAGCTTTTTTCGTTTGGCAATGATGCATGCCTCACTTATCTAAGTTCAAGTTAAGCTGATACTGAGATTGATGCATCTGTACAGGAGCCATTGTTGTCTCAATAATTTTAAAAGAAAATTTAAGCCTGAATTAGGTGATTGCAGAGCATGGGAAGCAACATGGTATCCATCCCATTTCCTCCAACTGAACTCATGCTTACACATGAGAGGTATGCCAAATTTTGTCGTATGCTGCTTTACTATAAGGTTCCAAATTCAGTATGATGGTTAACTTATGATGAACATAGCAACATGGTATCCACCCCATCTGCTGTTTTACTGGGAGAAAGTTACTATCAAGGAATTTTAGTTGCATAAAGGTTCATGGGTTTTTCTCTTTTTCTAAATTCAATTGTGGAATCAAATGACCTTTTTCTCTTACAGTTTCCTGTACATTCGTAGTTGTTTATTGATTCAGAACAAGCTGCTTGATAGACCGTTAATTACACATGTTTTCACCCCTATTCTTGAGCCGTTTGAGGTGTTGATTTTCGTGTTTTAGGCCGATTTCACTCTAGGTTGTGCTTGTTTGTGATATTTCAGGTCTTAGTACGTGAATGGAGGCTTGGGAGCTAGTTTGGGGTCAATTGGACGAAGATCGGACGCGTGGCGAGGTGCCAAGGAAGCCGCACGGGCAGTCTGGGACATCACACGGCCGTGCAAATGACAATTGTGGCCGTGTGATTTTCGCCGAGAGCAAACACGGGCAGGATGGAAATCTCACACGGCCGTGCGACCCTGGCCGTGTGGGAAGCCTGAAAATCGAACTAATTGATACGCTGCGTTTTGACTCACACGGGCAACTGGGTGAGCCACACGGCCGTGTGGCCTGCCCGTGTGAGTCGGGAAATCTTGGTTTTTCAGCCAATTTCGAGCCAAAAGGGGGAGAATCCGATTTTCAGAGCAAAAACAGAGCCCTAGAGAGAGAAAGTGCGAAGAACACATCCTAGAAGCTATCTTGGAGCTGGGTTTCATCAAATCGAGCTTGGAGATCGTCATAGGAGTGGAAATCATCATCCCATAGCAGATTTTCCTCATCTTTATGAGTATGACTACTCTGATTACTGTTTTCTTCTCTCTCTCTCTATGGAGTAGAACCCTTCTCTCACTTGGGTATGAAGAACCCTAGTTCCATGTGTTAGGGATTTGATTGTAATGACTTGGGATGATTATACTGTTTGGTTTTAATCGAATGACGCATGTTTATTGAATTGATTGAAGTCGGATCAGCTTTTCTCGATTTCTGCTGCAACCTGAGATAGATAGAATCTGATTAGGTTGTTAGAGCCTCTTCATTCGATAGTAGGAGATTGGTTATACGAGAGTTAGCCAGTTTACTGCTTTGTACTGGAATCCAATTCAAGTAGTGGAGTTCTGTGCTTATTGCTTCAGCTTTCTATCCCGGTGAAGACTAGTCGTCTGCCGGATAGTTAGACTGAGAGGGCCTGGTCAGCTTAAGAGATTCCAAGCTACTGTCGGATCTTCCGCAGTCTAATCAACAGTAAATCAACCAAGGGTAATTACAATTGAACCTAACTAAGGAGCTAGGGGGACTCATTCTCGAGTGACTCTTTCCTGCTTGAGAAAACCGAATAATTTCCTACTTTCTTACTGTTTTTAGTTTAAACACAAATCACTCGACTTAGTTGGCTAGATAATAGACAATCACGGAGTAAGCAGTAGATCTAGACCCCGGGTTGATAATAGAACTTGCCTGTTACTGCATTCCCGGACTGCGATTACACTTGGTCGCAGTTTGGTGTTGTGTTTTGGCGTGTCAAGTTTTTGGCGCCGTTGCCGGGGAACCTCTAGGTTATTGGGGAAACATGAGAATTTGTTACTCTAGCTTTTTCTTTATTGCATTTTTTTTCTCTTCCACCTGTGTGCCTTCACGGGTTGCTTCTGCTGATTGTGTGCAGGTAGTGCATGACCCGTAGCCAGTCGGGAGATCTACTGCCATTAGACCAGGAACTTGAACGAACCTGGAGGAACTTCAAGCGGGCTCTAAAGGCGCGACTGGCTGTGGAGGAGGCGCCATCACAGCTGCAGATCGAAGAAGAAGAAGAAGAGATGGCTGATCCTCAGAACCATGATGTGATCAATCCAGAGGAGCAGACCATGGGATCCTACTGGACCGCTAGAGCTGCGGATATGAGGTCACCCATTCAACACCCTCATGTCCCAGCCAACAATTTTGAGGTGAGCACATCAGTAATCACCATGCTGCGCGGTTCAGTGGTGTTCCGTAGTAAGGAGGGGGAGTGCCCCCGATCACATCTCAGGCGATTCCACGAGCTCATCGATGGAATCAAGATCAATGGGGTACCAGCAGACGCCATCCAGCTGAGGTACTTCCCATTTACTCTGGAGGGGCAAGCCAAGGAGTGGCTAGACACTCGACCTCCGGGCTCTATCACCACGTTCGCCAACCTGGCAGACAAGTTCCTCACCCGCTACCATCCTCCATCCAAGACAGCTGACCTGCAGAAGCAAATTACCCATTTTGCTCAGGATGAGGATGAGACCATCAGGGATGCATGGGAGAGGTACAACAGTCTCTTCCTGAGGTGTCCAAATCATGGCTTCAATGATGCCTTCAAGGTGGGCACCTTCTATCACGCCCTCTTCCCGGAGGACACGCAGCTGATTGACTCCGTTTGTGGCGGGAACATGCTGACCAAAACACCGCCACAGCTGAATCAACTCTTTGAGGAGATGGCGGAGAACGGGTATGATTAGGGAACTGCCAGGAGATCGAGACGAGCACCCGGACGAGGTGTGCAATTTGTGGGCACCCAGTCATCTGATTTGGTGCAGGTGGTATCGAAGCTGGTTTCAGCTATCGATCGCTCTGGTTTGATTGCAGGTACAGGACAGCCGCAGGCGATGCTCTGCCACTGGTGCGAGAGCACCCATCACACGGTGGAAGACTGCCAGGCGATGAAGGAATCAACCACACCCCAGGAGTAGGTGAACTTCATCAATAACGTCAGGCGCAATGACCCCTACAGTAACACTTACAATGAGGGGTGGCGCCAGCATCCTAACTTCTCCTGAGGTGGGGCAAATTCCAGACCACCAGTCCCTGGCGGGCTTCCAGAGGCCAGCATATCAGCCCAGACAGGGGCAATTCCAGCAGTAGCAACAGTCTCTTTATCAGCCTATGCGGGGGCATGCTGCTCAATCACAGCCGCGACCTTTCCAGCAGCCAGGTGCAGCCCCTGCTGCCCCAGTGCAGAATGATCAGATGGCTGAATTGCGGGACTTGGTGGGTTCTCTCGCCAGTTCTAGTGCTCAGAAGTTCAACACTATCGAGCAGTTCATGGAAAAGGCCTCGGGTAAATTCCTGGCTCTTGAAGCTGGTCAGAGGAACACACAGGCTGTCTTGCAGGATATCCAGACCCAGCTGGGGAGCATGGCTCAGGCAGTGGCTCAAAGGGCTCCTGGTACTCTACCCGGGCAGACCATCCCTAGTCCGCAGACCCCGAATGAGCACTGCAATGCCATCATGACCAGGAGTGGCAAGATGACTGTTGATCCACCTGCTCGGGAACAAGAGAGAGAGACCCCTGTCTTAGCGTCTCCAGCGGTTGAAGAAGAGGCAGAAAAGGAGTTTGAGGTGCCTGCACCTAAGCCGCAACTGGTAGTGAAGGAGTATATCCCGAAACTCCCCTTCCCTACTCGGTTGCACAGAGACAGGTTGGAGGCAGAGTTTGAAAACTTCATGGCCATGCTTAAGAAGCTAAATGTCCAAGTGCCCTTCCTGGAGGCACTATCGCAAATGCCTAAGTATGCGAAGTTTCTGAAAGAGCTTCTCTCGAAGAAGCAGAAGCTGAGTGAGCTGGCCACTGTGGAGCTCAGCGAGGAGTGCTCGCTATTCTGCAGAACAAGCTTCCGCAGAAGAAGAAGGACCCAGGTAGTTTTTACTATCCCGTGCTCTATTGATAAATTGCATGTAGAGAGGTCCTTGGCGGATTTAGGTGCTAGTATCAATGTTATGCCGTATAATTGTTCAAGAAACTAGGCCTAGGTGAACCCCACGCTACTAGGATGACCCTTCAATTAGCTGACAGATCTGTAGTGCATCCTAGGGGCATAGTGGAAGACCTTCTGGTTAAGGTTGGCAAATTCAAATATCCTGTGGATTTTGTTTTCCTGGACATCAATGAGGACACAGACGTGCCCCTTATACTGGGAAGGCCTTTCCTGGCCACCGCCAAGGCTCTCATAGATGTGCATGATGGGACCTTAGTTTTGAGGGATGGCGAGGAGCGAATAACGTTTTCAATTGCTAATACTCTACCTGCTCCGTTACCTCTGCATGCTGTATCTCACCAGGAGCACGAGTCTGTCGTGTATCCTTCTGTGTTTCCTATTTTGCAGGATCCGCCTCCCATACCTTTGCCGCCACTCCAGTCCACACCGCCCCCAAAAGAACAGATCAAGGAGGAGTGGCGGCCGAAACTGCAAGCAGCTAAGCCTGCTCGAAAGAAAGTCGGAGACCACTATGAGATGGTCCCGCCCCCACCTTGGCCATCCGAGTATTCACTCGCTTGCATCTTGCCGGATGGCCAAGTCGAGCTGGCGAATGCTGGTGGCCACATTCGTCGCGTGCATGGCCACCATTTGAAGCTGTACCTCAAGAGCGATGTGGATCCGCTTTTGAAGGCACCTGATCCTACACTTCCCTGAGCATCCATACTGGCGTCCAGCTAAAAGACGGTAAAGAAGCGCTTGTGGGGAGGCAACCCCACCGAGGTTTGCATTTTCTTACTTTTTTCCTTTTGTTTTTTGTGTTTTTTTAGTCTTGAGATGTTGATCCAGAGTCAAATGTCGTTTTTGAGTGAAAACAGGTTAACTTCGGGGCTCCAACAGC